GGCCCTGATAGGTGCCCTCCTTGCCATCTGCTGCATGATCTTCCTGGGCTTCGCTGATGATGTACTCAATCTGCGCTGGCGCCACAAGCTGCTGCTGCCCACAGCTGCCTCACTACCTCTCCTCATGGTCTACTTCACTAACTTTGGCAATACAACCATTGTGGTACCCAAGCCCTTCCGCTGGATTCTGGGCCTGCATTTGGACTTGGGTAAGTAGCCCTGTGGCACCATTTCCTCTGAAATGCCAATAGAACACCCTTCCTAGTGGTCCATATTCTCCATAAATATTCCTTTTCTGACCCTGTGTCTACTCAGATTTCTTTTTCTTTCCCTCCTTCTTTCCTTCCTGTATAAGGAATTGAACCTAAGACCTCATGCTTCCTAGACAAGCACTCTGACTATACCAAAGCTTTTCCTTTCTATTTTTTCCATTTTCTAAAAATTTCAAAACAGGAGGCCTGGGGAGATGGCTCAGTGGTTAAGAGCACACACTGCTCTTCCAAAGGTCCTGAGTTCAATTCCCAGCACCCACATGGCAGCTCACAGCTGTCTGATATCTCTTCTGGTGTGCAGATGTAAATGCAGACAAAGTATCCACATACATAAAATACATAAACACATAAGTAACATTAATTACTTTAATTCATATTTAATATTAATAATAATAATAAATTTTTTTTAAAAAATTCAAAACAGGGTCACATACTAAGTTGCCTTGAACTTACTTAGCCCAGGCAGGTCTTAAACTGGTAATCCTCCTATCCCAGCCTTCCAAGTAGTTGGAATTATAGACCTGTGCTACTAGGCCTTGCCTATTCAGATCCTTTCGTTCATCCTGTTCTGTTTCCCCAGGGATCCTGTACTATGTCTACATGGGACTGCTTGCGGTGTTCTGTACTAATGCCATCAACATCCTAGCAGGAATCAATGGCCTAGAGGCTGGCCAGTCGCTGGTCATCTGCGCTTCTATCATTGTCTTCAACCTGGTGGAACTGGAAGGTAGGTGGGATTGGAGATCAGGAGGAAGACACACCTGAGAGCTAAGGGAATTGCCTGGTGTGGGTTTAGAGAATTCCTGGGGAAAAGTGACAACACAAAAGCGATTTTAGAGGGCTGGACAGATGGCTCAGAGGTTAAGAGCACTGACTACTCTTCCAGAGGTACTGAGTTCAATTCCCAGCAACCACATGGTGGCTCACAACCACCTGCAATGAGATCTGGTGCCCTCTTCTGGTGTACAAGACTACACCCAGACAAAACACTTATATACATAATAAATAAATTTTTTAAAAAAGCAATTTTAGAATGGAAGCTATTTACTCTGCAAACCAGCATAAGAAGCTAAGCATGAGAAAGAAAAACAGCAGTGCTGTCATGTAGAGCTTGTTGTGAATAGCTAGACCAGTGATTTCTATCAGACGTACAGTTTCAGAAAACCCCAGCATCGGAAAGGGTCACCCTCTGATCATGTCTGAGTACAGACAAACCCAGAACACTAAGCAACATGAAAATGACCGGGAACCTCTCTTAGCTAACATGAGAGGACACAGCTTTTTCCAGTAACAATTCATTTGTTTTGTTGTTTTGAGACAATCTTGCTATGTAACCTGGCTGGCCTCGAACTCATCATCTTTTCCTGTCTCCAATGTGTGTGGATTGTAGGCGTGTGCACCACACCTGACTTCCTCCTACTGCTTGGATTAAAAAATATATATATATACTAAAAATGACTCATGCCTTCCGAGAGCTCCCAGTGCAGAGCATATCTCTCCTTCCTTTCTTCCTCTCCCAGACCACACAAAACAAATCCTAAAACAAGCTCCTCAGCACCCCTTGGGAAACGTTTTGTGGTTCCCTGTGGTATATGGTTTTGAAGTCTTAGTTTCTAAGTAAACCCAAGTTTGACTACTAGATATTTCTGGTTGTCTTTAGTTGATAGACCTCAACAAGTGCTTAATAAAACTAAGAACTTTGTTTTGTTTTGAGACAGGGCTGTACCATGTAGCCCTGGAGCTCAGAGATCCAAGTGCTGGGATTAAAGGCATAGGCACCATTCCTGCCCCTAGCTAAAGCTCAGTGCTTTTAAAGCATTATCTCAAATGATGACTCTGTGTAACCGGCATTATCCAGTTTGACAGACGGAAGCTTAGAGAAATTCAATGCGTCATATTCAAATCCACACAACTAGGAAGTAAAACTGGTATTCAAACCCCAGCAGGAATTTCTAAACCACATTTAAGACAGTTACTAGCTTTTTTGAAGGCTCAATTGGGAATTGCCTGGGTGGCGTGAAAGGGGAAGTTAGAGCTAGGTGTGGTGGCAAGTACCTGTAATCCCAGCTGGCGGGAGGTGGAGGCCAGTTGGGGCAGGGTGGGGTAGAGTTGGTCTGGAAAGTGAATTGCTTGAGGTGTTCCCAATGGCTGGGAATGTAAATTAGACACAGATGAGACCAAGGTGCCTAGTGGGTACTAACTTTGCTTTTTACTCTGCTCCAAAGGTGATTATCGGGATGATCATGTCTTTTCCCTCTACTTTATGATACCATTTTTTTTTACCACCTTGGGATTGCTGTATCATAACTGGTAAGTAGGCCTGTGGATAAGAGAGAACGTAATTGGCATATGTGGGAGAGATGAGTATTCTCTGGGTTTTCCATTGGTAATGGTTTGCCATTCCTGTTGTTTGTGTGAGTATGAGCATTCGTGTATTTATGGTACAGGGGATTGAATCTGGGGTCTGGGGTCTTAGAAATGCTAGTCAAGCACTCCACTAGTTAGCTGTATTCCTGATCCCCCCCCCCTTTTTTTTTCTTTTGAGATGGGTGAGTGGGGTTCTCACTTAAGTTACCCAAGTTGGCTTTGAACTTACTGTATTATCAAGCTGGACCTGAACTTACAATTGTCCTGCCTTGCCTTCAGTTTCAGTTTTCTTTCTTTCTTCCTTCCTTCTTTTTTCCCTCCCTCCCTCCCTCCTTCCCTTCCTTCCTTTCTTTTGGTTTTTCGAGACAGCGTCTCCGTATAACAGCCCTAGCTCTTGTAGGTCAGGCTGACATCAAATGCACAGAGATCCGCTTACCTCTACCACCTCTCGACTCTGCCTTCAATTTCTTTAACAGCTGAGATTATAGGCATGTGGTATTAGATACCACCCCTACCACACGTATACCATGCTGGGGATCAAATTCATGACTTTGTATATGCTAGGTGACTGCTTTATCACTAAGCCACACATCCAGCCTGGTTGTTACTGTAGAATTATGGTTTACCCTGCAGTAGTTGGGAACAAATGCTGTGGCTCCCCTAGGAGTAGATGAATTTGGGGCTTTGGGTCCTGAAGAGTTTCCGGAACAGCCTTTCTCTTAGAAGTCAGGTCAGGACTAGGCTGCTGCCGAGAGTGCGTGATGGGAAGGAAAGGGTCAGTAATGACTCTCGCCTTGGCTCAGATCCTCTCTCCCATACAGGTACCCGTCCCAGGTGTTTGTGGGAGATACCTTCTGTTATTTTGCTGGCATGACCTTTGCTGTGGTGGGAATCTTGGGACACTTCAGCAAGACCATGCTGCTCTTCTTTATGCCACAAGTATTCAATTTCCTCTACTCACTGCCTCAGCTCTTCCACATCATCCCCTGCCCACGGCACCGCATGCCCAGGTAGTCACTCTGGGACTGGAAAGGGTCATTATAGTTTTTCACTTGGGTTAACTAAAGACGGGCCTATCTATCCATTTCCTGTGTAAGAAGTGGAGGGAAAAAAAGGGATAACTCTATGTGGGTAGCCCGTTCTAATTTACAAAGCACATTTACTTCCGTAATGTGTAATGCTTACAACAGTTTCCATCACCCAGCTATAAGCAGCAGAACCATAAACAAATGTCCGTGCTTAAGTACTCTTCTTAGTAACCGCAGGGTTACACGGAATTATCTTCCCTTTACAGACTCAATACGAAGACAGGCAAACTGGAGATGAGCTATTCCAAGTTCAAGACCAAGAGCCTCTCTTTCTTGGGCACCTTTATTTTAAAGGTAACAAGGTAACAAGGAGGTAAGGCCCCAGGCCACCATCCTTAACATGCGAAAAGGGAAACCTAGACCTTCTCAGACCCAAGGGGAGTTTGGAAATGTCAGAAAGATCCACTGTTGATGGAATGTATATAACTGAAGCTGTCTTTACCTCTGGTCTCTCCAGGTAGCAGAGAACCTTCGGTTAGTGACAGTTCACCGAGGTGAGGATGAGGATGGTGCCTTCACTGAATGTAACAACATGACCCTCATCAACTTGCTATTGAAAGTCTTTGGGCCCATACATGAGAGAAACCTCACACTGCTTTTGCTGCTACTACAGGTAAAATTGAGGGTGGGGTAAATTATGCAAATTTTCTTGTCTTTATTTCACCATAGTTCTTATTCCAGTTCATTTTTTCTTCTAGATCCTGAGCAGTGCAGTCACCTTCTCCATTCGTTACCAGCTTGTCCGACTCTTCTATGATGTCTGAGTTCCCTGAAGATTGCCCTTTACCCCAGTCTCCACTGGACCTCACCCAGGACCAGCCTGTCTGGTCCAAGACTGCCTTCTGGTCCAGGCCTCTCTGACTGGCCATTTGTTTTGTTTTCAGCTTCTCCCATCACCTGTGATTATTGACCTGGACCTTATTGGACTTAAAGTTCATCTGTTGGACTTTGCCTATGGCTTTCTTCAGCTCGCTACTGTCTCCGTTTCTGTCCCATCTGCAGTCTCATAAGGGGGTGGAGCAGCTTTTGTGGATATTCACAGCTCAGCTTTCAGAGCCTTGACTCTGAAAGAATTCGCCAGACCTTGAGAGAGAACCTGGGCTAGGGCTAGAGCTAGGGCCCTGACTCCAAGGTAACCTCACACTTGACTTTAAGTGTTCCCATTAGGAAGAGCCAAGGCAGGCCATGTGCTCAAAATGGTGACAATAAAGAATTGTCTTTTACTTTCTCCTGTAGGTGTATCCACTCCCCTCCCTCTTTTTCCTGACCTTTGAGGTGCTTGAGGACTGAGCTCAGGGCTTCCTTGTACCTAAGTGCTGTACCAGTGAACTGTGGCCCCAGCCCCATCTGTTTATTTTCTGGATCAATTGGAAGAATTGGGGTGGGCACCTTCTCCATTAGGATGCCTACCTCTGCTCCATCAGACCCTTTCCTGCGAGAAGCAACAGAACTGAAACCAGACAGACCATGTTGAATAAATATTGAAATCCTAAACTTGTGGTAGTGAAGGATCACAGTTCTCAGTTTTGTGACATAGAATTGAACTCTCGGGTCTCATTTCTTCTCTTTTAAACCCTCCAGATCCGAGGAGGGAGTGGGAGTATCCTGACCTGGAAGGAGAAAGGCGGTAGTGGTTTATAACCTAGACCCTTTCCTTTTAACTTTTTTTTTTTTTGCTTTATTTTTCGAGACAGGGTTTTCCCGTGTAGCCCTAGCTGTCGGGGAACTCACTCTGTTCAAGGCTGACGTTGAACTCAGAAATCCACCGGCCTCTGCCTCTGCCTCCTGAGTGCTGGGATTAAAGGTGTGCTGTACCACCGCCTGGCTGACCCTTTTCCTTTAAAACCTAGGCCGGCCCAGATTTCCCAGAGACAGTAGAGGGGGCTCCAGACTCCACCCTCCTTGTCTTCCGGTTTTGATGGCGCGCAGTAGCGTTTAAACTTCGCGCGCTTACTACGGATTGGCCGCTTCCACGGCAGATTAGCCTCCAGCATGAGGCCTCTCCGCCTTGCTTTCTTCCCCGGGTAAAAGGTTTTCAAATTGGACCAATCGCCGGGCGAGCTCTCTCCGCCTAGGCACGTCACTGAAAGGTTAATTGCAACCAACTAGAGACCGGTATCAAAGAAAAGAGCCAATCGGGCGGCTGCGGGGGCGTGTCCAGGCAGTTTATAAGGGCGCGCTCACCCGCGCGCGGCGACAGTTGACTGCGGCGGTTGGTGGTGTTTGTCTTTGTTGGCTTCGCGCTCTACCCTTCTACCTCGTATACGATGTCGGGTCGCGGCAAGACCGGAGGCAAGGCCCGCGCTAAGGCCAAGTCGCGCTCGTCGCGCGCCGGCCTGCAGTTCCCGGTAGGCCGTGTGCACCGGCTGCTGCGGAAAGGCCACTATGCCGAGCGCGTGGGCGCAGGCGCGCCCGTGTACCTGGCGGCCGTGCTGGAGTACCTGACGGCCGAGATCCTGGAGCTGGCGGGCAACGCGGCCCGCGACAACAAGAAGACGCGCATCATCCCGCGCCACCTGCAGCTGGCCATCCGCAACGACGAGGAGCTCAACAAGCTGCTGGGCGGCGTGACGATCGCGCAGGGCGGCGTCCTGCCCAACATCCAGGCCGTGCTGCTGCCCAAGAAGACCAGCGCCACCGTGGGGCCCAAGGCGCCGGCGGGCGGCAAGAAAGCCACCCAGGCCTCTCAGGAGTACTGAGGGAGCCCGCGCCGTGGCCGCCCAGCCCTCCCCACACCTCCACAAAGGCCCTTTTCAGGGCCACCACCTCCCTCACAGAAAGAGCTGAGCCACTGAGGGCCGGGCCGCCGCGTCCCCGTTCTACCCCCTTTCTCTACCCTCGCGCGTTCTTGCCTCCCTTTCCCTGCACGGCCTCTGGGTCAACCACGGAGGACACGGGCGCCAAGACGCCTGCCCACCCCGGAGCTTCGCCGGTCTCGTCTCGGTCTTCGATGTGCCGTGCGGAGAGGCTGCGACACCTTCCAGAAGTCTCGGCCTTTTGCTGTGGCGGGCGACCGAGATGGGCCTGAAGGTGAGTCTCTCCGCAGCTGCAGCCCGGGCGTCTCTTCAGCTTGGTGCTTAGCCCTCGCCTGGACCTTCGGAAGTGACTTGATTACCAGGCTTTGGTGAAGAGGAATGGGTCATACTGTTTGATCCTGTATGCCCCCCTTGCTGGCCTCTGACCATTCTCACCCATCTTCATTCATAGGCCGGTGTGTGATGTGGCCGGGACAAAATCACTAATAGGAACCGATTTTCTCCAGGATGACTCCTGGAACGGGTCTGGGAGAAGCTTGCAGGCCTGTGGACAGAAGACCTGTGTTCCTGCCGCAGGAGACTGACTGGCTGCCGGGCCTAGCCATTCCCTTTTCCCCCCGGCGACTCACCTCATGACCCGAACACCTAGATACCAGCACACGTCGGTGAAACCCTGTATGGACTGAGCCTGTTGGCTTCTGAACTGGAATTTTGCAGCTATCCCAAGTTTAGAACCTTAGGTAGTGGGGAGTTTCAATGGGCTAATTTTATTAAAGGATTGTTTGGTTTTTTAAAAATGGAGTCTTGATTTAATTTTTGAATTGCTGTAGGCTCGGGGCTGGGGTTCTATAGCTCCGTGGTAGAACCATGTGATGGGTATGTGTTGGGAGGTGGGAGTGGAACTATGGCAAGTTCCCTTGCTTCGGACAGTGGAAGTGGGAACGACTAATACAAGTGGGGTCTGTAAAATGGAGACTTGAAGGCTGTTCTTTGCTTGACACTTCTGGGATACATTTCTGAGAACATAAGGCAGTCACAGAAACTATTTTTTTCTTTTTTACACAGAAGTCCCACATTCAAAATTCAAGTTTAAAAGGGCTTTGAGTTTATTCATATCTTCCCCAACTCCACCAAAACCACATTCAGAGCTGGTTTAATTATTAGTGGCACTGGTTACATTCAAAGATTGGCATGGACTTTTTCTAAAGAGATGAAGCCCCAACTATTGAGGGGGAAGGCAGTCATTGAGGCCCCAAGCTGAGGCACGTCTCTCGAAGTCTCAACACCCTGTCTCCTGGGATAGTCAGCCCCCAAGTTGGGAGCACAGGGCACTTGAGACACGTAGGCACTGGAAAGTGGCAGCCAGGGCTCACCAGTTAGCGCACATCATTAAGCTGCCGTGCAACATCCAGGATGTTCTTGGCTCCTTTGTTCAGCAACAAGCTGGCCAGGCTGATGCCCAGGTTCTCAGCAGCTAACTGGGCTCCCCTTGGAATGTTCCGGGCAGTGATTCCAACCAGCTGTGGGTCATCCTCTGGACCCTCTTCATGCTGGGTGACAGAAGAAATTACAATTTAGTGAGAGGGAAGCCTACAAGTACTTTTGTTTATTCCTCTCTCATCTCCCAGCCAGTACCTGGACAGGGACCTGGATGGTGGCCTGCATAGTCTCTTGCATGCTATCTGAGCCGTCTAGACTCCAGACTCCTCCAGTCAGGTACAGCTAGGAAACAGAATGGGTTGTAGCACATATTCAGGAGAAAGTTGTTAGCTGTTTGGGTGTACACGGAAGTGCCACAGCTGCCCCCCCTCCCCCCCATCCATTTTCCCTGCTTACCTGTCCATCGCTCATCACTGTGTGCACTGCTACTGGCACGCTACAGCCCCCTTCCTGCAATGAATGCTCTTTGAGCTCTAAGGGCCTTTAACATCACTTTTTGACCACAAACCTCTAAGGATATTAACTGAAAAGCCTGCTGGGGCCAGACCAATGTTCTCTCTCTGCACTTAACAAAACATTCCACAATTCTTAAGTTACCACTACATACAGAACACTTTTCTGAGAAGTCTTCCTACTGCCCTTCCTGATTCCCCAAGTCCTCGCATCACCACGGGAGGAGCTCAAGTCTTACCAGGTGCCTCAGAAAGGCCCTCTCAGCAATGCAGCGAAGCAGAGTCTCAGGGTCATGTAACACACTCACTAGATCCAAGATATCCTGGTCCTTGGCTCGGACTTCCACTGCTAGGGCTCCCTAAAGGAAAAACAGGCCGATCTTTCTCCAGTCGGGAAGCCGAACATGGGAACAACCCCTCTTCTACCTGCTTCCCAGGGTCTTCTGCTTGCCAAAGCCTGAACAATTTATTTGAGGGGGAGCAGATGCCAAAGATTATAAACGCAGGTTTATGAAGGGGCACATGAACAGAGCCTCTCCAGGCAAACTTACCTGACCCACAGCATACATACATTCCTCTGGATGCAAGATCTGTGGAGGCAGACAGAACAGAGTGGTGGGCAGTGAGCTAGGGTTTGTCAACCGCGACGCCTGGGGGAGGCACGCACAGGAGTCTGGCCTCTAATCTCACTCCCTAGCCTGAGCTTACTTCTGGCTCGTCGTGTTATTGACAGAATGGTCACGAAGATAGCAGGAGAGGCAGATTAAAATAGAATGGAACAGGGTAGCGCCTACCTGCCCCACCCGGTTTTGCCAGCCCATGCGCTGCAGGCCAGCCACAGCCAGGATAATGGCACTGAACTCCTGCTGCTCATCCAGCTTCCGCAGTCGGGTGTTGAGGTTGCCCCGCTGTGGAGAGACGCTAAGGAGAATCGTGACCCACACAGTGCACCCCACCCTCTGCCCCACAGTCTCTTGTCTCCTTCTAGCTGACTTTTACAGACTCTTGGACAGGATCTCAGTGTAGTCTGACTGTACTGGGACTCACTATGTAGACCAGGCTGGACTTGAACTCACAGATATCTATCTGCCTGCTTCTGCCTCCAGAATGCTGGGATTAAAGGCATGCGCCACCACACCTGACTGGTACACACTATTTTTTTGTTTGTTTGTTTTTTGTTTTTCGAGGCAGGGTTTCTCTGTAGCTTTGGAGCCTGTCCTGGAACTAGCTCTTGTAGACCAGGCTGGCCTCGAACTCACAGAGATCCGCCCACCTCTGCCTCCCGCGTGCTGGGATTAAAGGCATGCACCACCACCGCCCGGCTGGGACATACTATTTTTATTTTTTTATTTATTTATTTATTTAATTTTATTTTTATGTGTATGGGTGTTTTGCATGCATGTATGTCAGCAGAGGTCAGAAGAGGGCATCAGATCTCCTAGAGCTGAAGGTAGAGACAGGTGAGTCACCAAGTGAGTGCTGGGAGTTGAACCAGAGTCCTCTGGAAAAGCAGCCAGCTCTAAACCATCTCTCCAGTCCCAGGTCATGCTCTTTTTAAAAATAGTTCTAAGAACCACAAGGCCACAGTAAAAGTCAAAACTGCTTAGTAGCAAATAAAGTAAAAATGGGAGCACCTTTAATCCTGGCCATCCAGAGATAATTACTGATTGTCAATGCCTGTCGTCTCCCTAACTAACATGCACTCTCTATAAGCAGGAACAATGTTTATTTTATAATTATCCTTGTTGCCAGGCACCTGCCAGAGTTTAAGAAAACATTAAAGATGGTTGGGTGGGTGGATGGACAGATGGACGGAAAGAAGATAACCCACTGCTCCCATGGACCACTGCTTTGGAAGGTCCTTACTCAGGACTCTCAAGAGCCCTCTAGACCTTCTCCTCCTCTTTAGTCACTGCCCTTCCCTCTTGTGAAAGGATACAATACTCTTGAATTCCAGATGTGGGAACTTTCTCTGTAGCTGGGCCACTCTCCTCAGGGAGCTGGTTCCCACTGCGCTGTTCAGAGAGAGAGAGAGAGAGAGTTTAAAATTAAATTTAACATGGGCTGCTCGCTATTCTCCACTGTCCGTCCCTCTGTCTTCTGTCCACCAGCCCCCCCCCCCCCCACTCACCTTTTCTCTGGTAAGGTTTCTAGAGTCTTCCCAATAAATTTTGGGTGAAAGACAACAGCATCACAAGGATTTTCTCGTCTGGAGAGCAAATGATGAAATAAATTTATTATTATTTGGAGACAGGGTTTAACGCTAGCCCTAAAATTTATGATGTACCCCGGGCTAGTTTAAATTCACAATAATCCTTCTGTTTCAGCTTCCAGAAAGCTAAGGTTATAGGTGTGATCCACCAGGCCTGACTTTTTTTTAAAATATTTATTTATTATGTATACAATATTCTGTCTGTGTGTATATTTCCAGGCCAGAAGAGGGCACCAGACCCCATTACAGATGGTTGTGAGCCACCATGTGGTTGCCGGGAATTGAACTCAGGACCTTTGGAAGAGCAGGCAATGCTCTTAACCACTGAGCCATCTCTCCAGCCCCAGGCCTGACTTTTTATATTCTTTACAAAAGGTTTCTTTCCTGTTTTGCTTTCTTGGTTGTTTACATTTTTATTTATGCGGAGAGTATGCATGCCATGGCATGTATGTGTCCATGGCATGTATGTGTCCATCAGATGACAACTTGTGGGCTTCAAGTCTTCCCTTCTACCATATGAACCAGGGATTGAACTCTGGTCAACAGGCTTGAAAGCAAATGCCTTTACCACCTAGGCCATCATAAGCCAGCCTTCTAGCACCCAACACCTTGAGACACATTCTCACTAAATTCTCAGGCTGGTTGAAATCACTCTAGCCCAAGCAAGCTGTGAACCTCTGATCCTCTTTCTTAGCCATCCCTAGTAACTGGAATTACAGGCCTGTGCCACTGAGCCCAACTCCATGTACTCTAGCTAGCCGACCAACTGGCTTTTCCCAGAGCTTTCTGCTGTGTTTAATGACTGACAACCTTCCCAGCAGAGAGCTAAGTGGCCACGTCCTAAAGGGAAAAAAAGTCAAAGACCCCCATGGTGGGATGCACCCCTGCCCAGCCCCTCGTGCTTACTTGCAGATGGCTCCAATGGTGAAGCCAGGAGGTAGTATAGTGGGCACATCCTTCAGCGAGTGAACAACCAGGTCCACTCTAGAGAGAGGAGGGAGGGCATGCAGAGAGGAGTTGAGTAGTTGACCTCACACTTTTCCACCTACCTGAGCTATAGCCATTCAGGAAGAGGCAGTCCTAAGACCTAAAGACCCTGAGGCCTGCTTTCCTCTCAATGACTCTACCCCATTTCCCAGACAATCTTATGTCTAGGCAATCAGGTTGCTCCAAAATAAGCCACTCCCTGTGTGGACACCTAGGAGCTCCTTATCCTAACACCACAGTCCTGCTAATATTGGGGAGCCACTCTGGGGTTCTAGTGGGAGACTGGGGAGGGCCATGCTCTCCATTCGCACTTACTCATTTTTCTCCAGGGCGTATTCTAGCTCCTTGGTAAACAGGCTTTTCTCTCCAATCTGCCAGGGAAGAGTGAGTCTCAGAGTGGAACCCCTTGTGGGAATAAGGGGGAGAGGGACTGGAAGAGCAGGGACAGGGACGGTCATTACCTTAGAGAGTGCAGTATCGAGAATCTTGTCCCCCGTGGTAGACATGGCAACTGAGGAGAGAGTCAGGTACCCGTTAATCAGTACCTACTGCCACCATTGGATCAGTACGGCACGAAGAGTCCCACAAGCCCCAGCTCCTAGCCTCAAGGAATACACACATTAACAGAAAAAGCAGACCCAAGGCAGAAGGTATGCCAGGCTAGCCCAGGCAGTTGGAGGTAAACGCGTTCATAGGAAGTTAGCCCTCCACCTGCAAGCAGCTAAAACAAGACTCTCACAAACAGGTTTTGACTGCCCTCAGAGTCCAAAATGCCGCCTTCTCCCATTCGCTGGCCTCCCACTCGCTGCCATTCATTCCTCTCAAGCAAACTTACTGATTTCAAACTGCATGCCCGGGTGCAAGGTTTTCAGCATCGCCACCACAGTGTCCGTCTGTATGCGAGCCAGCTGGGGACAGAGATCTGAATTGTTCCTGCCCTTCCCTGGCCACTGCCCCAGGCTCAAATCCTCATATGGGTCAAGAAAGATAAAAAACGGTCTAGACTTCTCACGTGGGGGGGGGGGGGGGAGAAAGAAGGGCCTGGCTTGGGAGTTCTTTCTGTGTCTCTAACCACTTCCTTGGTCCAGGGACTTTCTTTTCAGAGGTAGTAAATGTCCAGCATCAGTAAGCCGCCATTCCCGATAAGACTGACTCCCAGATACTCTTGCGTCCTCTATGCTAGGAACTAGCCCTCTGGGTCCCATCAACGGATGACTTTGTGAGCATTAGTTAGAACTCTTATGGCAACCCCGTACGTCTGTACTTACCTGGCTCTTACGGGTCCCCACGCGAATCACCCTCATCTTTGAGCCGTTTTCTCCCTGCAGAAGAAAGCCCCCAGGTTACAGTCTGTTCCACGACACCTTATCCAAGAACCAGAACCACAGGCTTCGGAGAAAGGATCCCAGGCTCTGGCCAGGGAGTCTTCAAATAGGAAAAGAGTCCCATAACTGGTCCTCTAACCTTCCTTGGTACCTTCTGCCTTCCTACAGGATTCAGAGAAGCAGGGACCAAAGGAAAGTTGTAAGGGGATTCGTTGTGGTAACAGCAGCAGCAACTATGACACTGAGCCTCAAAGCCCAGCCTGGCCAATGCTGTGCTCAGTGGGAGGGTTGCACAGCCAGGTGGAGAAAATGATAAGGCCCATCAGCCTAAGCACAGTGAGGGTGGGCCCTGCCGGAGGGTGGGGCCTGCAAGAGGCTGGTGCATGACAGCTGAAGCCACACACAGAGGACAGGTTTGCTGTCCACAACAACTCAGGTACTTGAGAAAGTCTCACTACCCACTAGGTGAAGCACTAAGGGTTCCTTACCCTGACCTACAAGGACTGAGGTCAGCCAATCTAATGCATAGTACTGTTCACCCTCTTGACTGGGTGGCTTTGGGGACATCATCCATCAAGGTCTTGTTAAATGAAAGGCCACCTGATGCCTCAAGATGTCTCATTGTCCCAGAAGACTATGAGGCTAGTGGCTGAAGAGATGGATCAGCAGTTAAGAGCACTGACTGTTTTTCCAGCGGATCCAGCTTCAACTCCCAGCACCCACATGGCAGCTCACAATTCTCTTAACTCCAGTTCCAGAGGACCTAACACCCTCACACAAATATTAGTGCAAAACACCAATACGCAGGCTGGAGAGAGGGCTCCGTGATTAAGAGCACTGGCTCCTCTTCCAGAGATCCTGAGTTCAATTCCCAGGAACCACATTTAGCTCACAACCATCTAGAATGAGATCCGGTGCCCTCTTCTGGTGTGCAAGCATACATGCAGGCAGAATACTGTATACATAATAAATAAATCTTAAAAAATAAATAAATAAATAAGAGGCCAGGCCAGACAGTGGTGGTGTATGCCTTTAATCCCAGCACTTAGGAGGCAGAGGCAGGCGGATCTCTGTGAGTTCGAGGCCAGCCTGGTCTATAGAATGAGATCCAGGACAGACTTAAAAGCTACACAGAGAAACCCTGTCTCGAAAAAACAAAAACTAATTAAATTAAAAAAAAAAAAGAGGTCGGTTGGCAAAGACGCACACCTTTAATCCCAGTGCTAGGGAGGCAAAGGCAGGCGGATCTCAGTGAGTTGGAGGTCAGCTTGGTCTACCAAGTGAGTTCTAAAACAGTCAGGACTGGTAGACAGAGAAACCCTGTCTCTAAAAACAAAATAAAATAAAATAAAAGACTATGAGGGTAGTCTATGAGGAACTGCCTAACATTAATTTGTCTAAATGTTTTTGGTTTTTTTTTTTCTGAAGTCAGAGCTGGAGCCAAGAGCTCAAAGGGACACACCTCTTCCTCCTGTCACGGTGCCTTGGATAAAGGTGTTTAGTGTCAAGCAGGTAGAACTGGGTTCTGCAGTCTGACACAAAGGTCTTATTTCTTTCTGCTGACTGGAGCCATTGTAGAAACCGTCCACCCTCCCTGCACTGGGTCCCTCATCTTACAGGTTCTTCTGCAGCAGACACTCAGGTTCTTGGTCACTGGAGGAGGTAAAAATTTACCCTTGGACACCAGACTACTCCACTGTGATAATTCCTCCCTCAAATGACTCTGAGACAGCCTCTTCAATTTAGCTAGGCTTGAAATACTCAACACAGAAATTCCAGGCCACAGGTGCTCACAGGAAGGAATTACTAGGGTCAAGCAATTCCTTAATTGACCCCACACAGCATTTTCAAGTCCAACTGTTCCATTAAAAAAAAAAAATGAGTATTGGGTGGTAGTGCACGCCTTTCATCCCAGCACTCAGGAGGCAGAGGCAGGCGAATCTCTGAGTTCTAGGCCAGCCTGGTCTATGAGTTTCAGGACAGCCAGGACTACACTGAGAAACCCTGTCTCAACCACCAAAAAAAAAAGTATTGTGACGTGTGGGGCTGGAGAGATGGTTCCCTGATTAAAGCACTAGGTTCAATTCCCAGCACCCACACAGAGGTTACAATATTCTGTAACTCTAGTTCCAGGGGATCTCTGGTTCCCTCATCTGGCCTTTGCTGGACACACAAGTAGTTCACACAGACCTGTATTCAAGCAAAACACCCACACATATAAACAAACTAATTTTATTTTGTTTCCGGAGACAGGGTTTCCCTGTGTGATCCTGGCTGTCCTTGAACTCACTCTGTAAACAAGGCTGGCTTTGAACTCAGAGATCCGGCTGACTGCTGGGATTAAAGTGCCACCACTGCCAAGCATAACAAATTAATTTTTAAAAAAGTATTTGGAGAGGCTGGAGAGATGGCTCAGCGGTTAAGAACGCTGACTGCCCTTCCAGAGGATCTGGGTTCAATTCCCAGCACCCACATGGCAGCTCACAACTGACTGAAAATCCAGTTCCAGGGGATCTGACACCTTCACACCAATGCACATAAAATAAAGTTAAATAAGCCATAAGAAATATTTTTTTTAAAAAAAGTATTTGGAGTTGGGCATGTGGCATATGCTTTTAATCCCAGCATTGAGGAGGCAGAGATAGGCAGATCTCTGTGAGTTTGAGGCTAGCCTGGTCTACAAAGCATGTTCCAGGACAGTTAGGGCTACACAGAGAAACCCTGTCTCCAAAACAAACAAACAAACAAACAAACAAAAATAAGTATTTGGGCTGGCCTGGCAAGATGCTGTACAAACCTGATGACATTAAGTTCTACCCCCAGATATTGTGGAAGGAGAACACACATCCAGAAGTTATTCTCCACTGTACACTTGCATTATGGCCTGTGTCCATGGGCACAAACACAGACACGGTAACAAGAAACAGTAATCAAATAAAAAGCAAAATAAAACACACAGGGCACGGCGGCACACGTCTGTAGTGTCAACACTCAGTAAGTTGGTAACTGGGAGAATCGGCCCAGCCCAGGAATCTGAGACCAGCCTGGAGTATCATTTAAAGGCTTGAGCCATCCTTTCCGTACACTGTCCTCACAACAACCCTACTGCGTGAGACAGGGCAGGTACTTCCAGCAAGAGTCACAGAAGCAAAGATGAAGAGAGGTCAAATGACTGGCTGAAAGTCTCACACTACGCACAGGCAGAAAGTGGATGCTGGAATCTAGATCTTCCTCCTCCTAACCTGAGCTCTGAAACGTCTACACTAACAAAGACTCCCCCGTGGCTCCCAGGCTGGGCAAGAGATAAGCAGGCCCCACAGCTCTGCCTTATCTCAGGCAGCCAGTGGCCTCAGGGCTCAGTGTAAGGCCTGCCCAAAGTCCAGAGCTTTCCAGCAGGCAAGGAATGACAAAGCCCAAGTGGCTCCCATTGACAAGAGTAATTCAGGTGTGTCTTAGCTGGGTGGCTGGGTTTGGGTGACTTTTATAACGGAGAAAGGGAGAAGGCACACATCCAAGATGTTCGCATATAGTTCTAATTCATGGGGTGGGAGTGGGGTGCTCTCCCATGATCAATTGGTTAGTGTTCAAGGCAGCTGGATTTGCCTTGACCCCTACCTACTTCATGAAAGAATCTTGTCTGTGTATACACTTTTACTAGCCCACTATCCCTTAAGCTTAGGGAAATTCCGGCAGAAGCCCAAAGGTGGACCATCTTTCCACGCCCAACCCTGCCCCAACAGCTCAGGATCACCCCCTTCCCTTTGGAAGGGCAATCTAGTTACTGGCCCTTTAAAATGTCTAGAGGGAGGGGGGAGAAATGACAGCTAGCTGTTCTGACCAATAGACGACGGAGCATGGCAACTCGGGACCAATCGTTGCATCCAAAAAACCCAGAGGCGTGCGGGTCACCGGCTCAGGACTCACCGCCGTTGCAGCCGCGCTGCCGTTACCGGACATGACTCCGCTTAGGGCGCAGGCGCGGCGCTGCCGCTGCGGTGCCCTTGAGGCTGCAGAAGCCGGCGAACTGGGCCGGCGGGGACTGAAGGCACATGGGGGCCGAGCCCGCACACCAGCCGAGCTGCAGGACCTGCCGAGCTCTGCGTCACATCCGCTGCCCTCTCTCGAAGGGGCGGCACCTTCCTCTGGGCGGGAATTAGGGTTGCGACATAGCCAGCCTCTTTGCCGGCATCACCTGGCCCACTGCACAGAATAACTCAGGTTTTTTTATTTTTATGTTTTTAATACTTTTTTGTTTTCCTTTTTTTCATTTTGTTTTTCGAGACAGGGTTTCACTGTGTAGCCCTGGGTGTCCTGGTACTCACTTTGTAGACCAGACTGGCCGCGAACTCACTAGTGCTGGTATTAAAGGCATGCACCGCCACCACCCGGCTATTTTTCATTCTATTTATTAAATGTGTGTAGTGTGGGTGCGCGTCTGCCATGGTGTGCATAGAGAGGTCAGAATAACTTAAGGGAGTCGGTTCTCTTCCCTCCATTATGTCCCAGAGAGTTTGAACAAGTTACCATGTCTGCTGGGGTGCATTCAACATCGACAAATGAAAGGGCTCCAGACGGCTCCTGAGACTTTCACAGCTTCACCTCTCCAGCACTGGCATAAGCAATTAGTGTAAATGTGGTGTTTCTTTTTAAGCAAACTAACTTTGCTATACTGTAAAGTAAGCAAATCTTTTTAAGGCAAGGTTTGGGCTATTAGGAGCTCAGGCTGGCCTTGAACTTTCCACTTCTTCGGGCTCAGCCTCCCACAGTAGACAATAGTTATTGTTTGTTTGTTTCTTTGAGACAGGGGCCTTGTGTACCCCAGAACGTCCTTGAACACCACCTAGATTCGTGTACCACCCTTTGTTGTTGTTGTTGTTGTTGTTGACCCCCTGCAGCTGGAAAGGCTAAAAATTTATGGGAGTGCCTCTGTGTCTTCCTTCCACAGACCGTGTGAATCCACACCCAATACAACAATGCTTGAATTTTTACTTTAAGAAAATGAAACTAGCTGGGCAGTGCTTGCATACGCCTTTAATCCCAGCACTCCGGAGGAGGTAGAGACAGTAGGATCTCTGAGTGTTGACCTAAAATGTGGGTTCCAGGAAAGCCAGGGCTACACAAAGAAACCGTCTCGAAAAACAAAATACACAATGAACGTAGTACAAAAAGGTGAATGGCTCAGGAATTAAGAGCACTTGCTGCTCTAACAGAGGACCTGGGTCTGGTTCCCAGCACCAATATGGGATTCTCAGCCATCTGTAACTACAGTGCTAGAGGCTATTACCTCTTCTAGTCACTGACACCAGGCATGCGTGAGGTACACATACATACACACAGGCAGGCAGGCATTCATATATATAAAATCAACTTTCCTAAAGGAAAAGGCCATGTTAAAACCAGGTCCTGGGTGCTCCTGTAATTTCAGCACTCTGGAGTTGGAGGATCAGGACCTCAAAGTCATCTTCAGTCACACAGTAAATCTGAAGTTAATCTGGGCTACAAGAAACCCGATCAAAAAGAAAAAAGAAATCCGGCTGGGCTGGGTGGTGATACCTTTATTCTCAGCACTCAAGAGTCAGAAGCAAATCTCTGGGTGTTTGTGGTCAGACTGTCTCAAAACGGGTGTGCGGGGTATGCAACCCTATAGACGAGTGGGGTGACAACACGTATGTCGGTGACATTCAAGGCCTCACGTGTGCTAGGCACACACTGCCCACTGAGCAGTATCCCCAGCCTTGAAGAGCGCTTGTTAGGTGTGTGCCAGCACTGGGGAAGCTAAGGCAAAAGCATTCTGAATTCAGTGCTATGCCAGATGAAAACACCGTTTCAAAAACAAGAGCGCGCACACACACACACACTGCACTGGCATGTACGGCACTTGTAGATTTTTTTTCTTCTGAGACAGGGTCACGGTAGCCCTGGTGGGCCTAGAACTCAGGGACCTGCTTGTCTCTGCCCCCTTAGTGCTGCATGTGCCACCATGCCCAGCTTTTGTTACTTTCTTTAAACAATCTCACAGGAGCAATTACTGATGGTACCCCAAATAACAATCACAGTAACATAACCTTTAACCTGACTTCAAAAGGGGGAAACGTCTAAACAAAAGGTCTTTAATCCTGCTTATCTGATATTGAATTCAGAAAAATACTTACCTTTCATGACTAGGTCCAAGGCTATCTGGCTTCTGTTTATTTTAAAACACTTTATTACTATTACGTATGTGTGTGTGTGTGCACATGTACTAGATGTGTGGATGTACTAGAATGTGTATGGAGGGAAGAGGCCAAATCAAGGGAGTCCTTTCCTTTCACCTTGTAGCCCCAAGAGATCAAACTCAGATCCTCAGTCTGGGCAAGTGTACCTACCTGCTGAGTCAGCTCACTGAGCTGTAGGTTTTGAAACTCATGCACCCCAAGGAGAATTCCCATCTGCTCTCTATTGAGGCTGGCTTTTAAACTCCCGACCCTTCTGTCTCTGCTGTGAAAGTGCTAGGTCATAGGTGGGGAGGAGCGTCATTCCCAGTTCCTGCTGGACTCTTCAACTAGACTAAGCAAGAGCAGGGCTGCATGCCTTGCTCCAGGATGCGCTTGCTGCTCAGTCACTTTTTGTTTTGAGACAAAGGTCTACGTAACCCTGGCTGGAACTTGCTCTGCAGTGAATGCTGCTCCAGTGTGTACCAACACACCCAGCTTCACTAGTCCTTCTGAAGAGGTTCTTCAGGAGACTGAGGGTATACAGCGGTGGTGGACTTGCCTAGCATGTGTAGACAGAGCCCTGTATTCAAGTCCCAACACAATGAAGTTCTTCAGGGAGTTTAACTTTCCTAGATGCTATCGATCCCACCCACCACTGAAATGATGTGGGGTTAACCAGACAGGAAGACCACAGGCAGAAAACTAGAACCCTAGAACACAGGGTGGTTCTTAGATATAATTTAGAATCACCTGATGGCTAGGTGTGGTGGTGCATGCTTTTAATCCCAGACTCAGGAAGAAGCAGGAGGATCTTTGGGAATTTGAGATCAGCCTCCTGGTCTACATGAGTTATAAGCAAGTGAGACCCTATCTTAAAAAAAAAAAAAGCAAAAAAAAAAAAAAAAAAAAAAAAAAAAAAAACACACACACACCTGAAAAGTCCTCATAAAATATTCTTCAACCCTCAAGTCATTATACTCTTTTATTTATAGGCTCTGAGAACAAGGACCCAAGCACAGCCTGGTGCCCTTGAATAGAGAATAAAGCAGCTATTGTCCACAGAGAGGTTGCTGAGGTGCCCTTCCTCACTGGTGTGGAAAATCTATATGCTGGTCAGCAGGAGGGACAGCAGGCTGGCAAAGGAGGAAGGAAAAGCAGATCCAGTCTTGATTCATGAGGGTCTGGAACTGTGGTCTGGTCGGCTACAACAGATCGCCTACGGCCATGTGTGTGCTTTAGGGGCCCAGAGTTCCAGGCTTTCCCAGGAGCTGCTTTGCTGACTAAGTCCCCCTCCTGGAGTGCATCAACAAGTCCCGCTGCAGCCCGGCCTCTAGGCTGGTGGTCAGTCTGGCTGCAGGAGGGTCTGTCAGGAGAGTCAATTTGTTGAAAACCCCTCGGCCAAAGTAGTCAGCAATCACGGAAAAGCTGTCATTCGAGCATTTGAGCTAGGAGAAAAGAGGAAGAATCAGACCTAACCGAAAAGGAAACAAATCCTCTGGTACTCCAAGGACACTGTGTGACACTGATGGTGGCCCAGGTCTTGGGTGTCTGTGTGTGTACACCAACAGAGGCCAGAAGGGGGCATCTGATAGCAAGGAACTGAATCACAGGCAACTGTGAGTCTCCTGATGTGACTCTGGTCCTCCAGACGACAGGAAGTGCTCTTAACTACTGAGCTATCACTCCAGCCCAATCTCTCCCCCAACCTTTTTAACCTACTCATCCCCACCTGGTGCTGGAACTGATCATGGAGATCTCGCTTCTGCTCCTGGGCCCGGATCATATCCATCACCTTGCGGTTCTCTGGGAGGCAGGTGGGGCAGTCAGCATCGCTTTCTGAGTAACTCTCAAAGCAGTGCTGGTGGAAGGAGTGGCCACACAGGAAGTGGACTGAGGGTAGCTCCAAGGCACTGTTACAGATGCTGCACTTGGTCTTCTGGAAGATCTTTGGACTGCAGGCAGGAGAAAGGAACAGTGGCAAAGAGTGAGGGCAGGGCCAAATCCCAGTGAGAGAGGAAACAGATGAAGGTCTCTGTAAAGGTCACAGAAGCCCTGATTTTTAGCTGGGCGGTGGTGGCGCATGCCTTTAATAACAGCACTTGGGAGGCAGAGGCAGGCGGTTCTCTGTGAGTTCGAGGCCAGCCTGGTGTACATGAGCTAGTGCCAGGACAGGCTCCAAAGCTATAGAGAAACCCTGTCTTGAAAAACCAAAAAGAAAAAGGAGCCATTCCTGCCTACCTTATCTAAAATTGTGGCAGACATTTGCAATAGTGGAATGAGGCACAGATCTAGTTTAGCAAAGTATTTACTTAGTAAGGCAATGTCTGCATTCATTCTACAGTATTATGGCATTCAAACCACCCCGCCCCCCAACACACACACACACACACACACACACACACACACCACACACGTGAGTGGGCTTTCTATATATGTGTATGTATCATAGGAAGCCAGAGGGGGGTGTTGGATTCCCTGGAACTGAAGTTATAAATGGTTGTGAGCCACCATGTGTGTGCTGTGAATCACACCCAGGTCCTCTGCAAGTGCAGCAAGCACTCTTAACTACTGACAATCTCTATCATTCCGACTCCACTTATTTAAAATGCTCACTGTATGTCTACAGAACATGAGGCCTATAAAGGCAGGGCTTCTTGTTTGTGCTATCATTAAAGAATTCAGAGACAATAAAGGCTGAGGGAATGAAGAAACCATTTCA